CTTGTCTTCACAGCCTCCCGTGCAGCATTGAATTCTCAACTCACAACTGCCTGGGCCAGAGTCAGAGTCAGAATTACTTTACGACTGTCGGTTTGCCGCCAATCAGTTCGTCCTGACGACAAGACCCTTGAGACTCACGACCAGTAATTTTATTATCCAACTGAACGCTTGCGGTTATAATCCTTATGTAACATTCTCTCTCACGAAAGGGTGGGTCTGTCATTTACAATTGTTGCTGGTCCTCACCAGCGCAATCATTCTCGGGTCCGAGTCCCGCGGGACCCATGACCATATTTTACTGTCTCAGATTCGAGATTCCCCCAACCTGTAGGGTCAGGTCCTCGTATTTATATCCTCAAGGAAGAAGGTGGTCCGGTTGTACCCCCAGACACTGGGTTAGCTTTTCATCTCCTGCTACGACTCACAGGGCTACGGTGAATATACTTGATCCCGCCTTCACACGGGGGTGCCTTGGTCGCCCCAATTTTCTTCAAGATAACTCCATGGAAAGGAAACACAGTACCTATTTCATTGTGAAGGCATGCTTTTCGCGCCATTGAACAGCAACCATCTCGGCGCGGACCACATATAAACACCGTTCTTCTATTGTTTCGTGCGCGTCTGTTGCGGGCGTTACCTAGAAACGGCCGCCGTTTACAGATTCACTGCTTAGCACCGGAACTGTACGTCACACTATGTATGGTACTGCAGAATATCAGGGAGTTAAATGACATTAAGAATACGGTGTCCTGTTATCTTGCGCCTTATAATTTGCTAGATAGGGACCAACGTTTTGGAGACAGTTGCAGGCACACTGTTCTACTTTGAAAATGAAGGTATCAGTTTCTTCCGAAATTTTGGTACCTACTTACCAAATTATATGGCGTCATATTCCAGAGGGTTGTACTTTTGGCGGGAGATACAAATAATTAGTGGACTCTCTATGTATGATTCCCAGTTTTCTGGGAATTTTGTGCCCAATGGATTTGTGTTTTGAACGCTGTAATACTTCTTGTTTAAAAATTACCAAGGAAAGGTTTAATATATTAGTTAGAACTCGGCTCAGTAGGGGCTTTGCATTAGCGAATTATTGGTTCCGTGATGTAGCCGTAAATCCTGCCTATTCAAACTATTGCCGTGAAATTCAATTTGACGTCATGGCGGTTAGTACAATGGGGCCGATCAGCAAGCCGAGTAACAGGGGCAGGTGGAAAGCGAGAGGGCGGAAATTGTGGGAGTACCGGAGGTGATGTGAAGCCGAAAACTGAGATAATAACAGAATATCTATCCTGTTTTTTTTATTACTGCCAAGTTCTCTCTGTGTTGGACATACGGTATCAAACAAATTCTGCCAATCTGTAATGTAGAGTCCACTCCCCCATACGCCTTCATGGTACAGTGCTTTATTAGTTAAGCACAGGGAAAACTTTACCTTTGCTGTGGATGTTTAGGGAAACAAGGAATCTTTATTTAGAGACCCAAACGAACCGCAGATGAAAAATCTGTGAAAGAAATTTATTTTCTTTAAAAGTTAGAACAAATGAGACATACAGTTACTATTCTACTGTAAAATATTAGTCCATATAAACTTTTCGCGGGGTTTTCCTTCCAAGAAAAACTTGCAAAATTGGAGAACCACAGAGAAAAATAGATTGATGAACCCTTATAAAATCCATATAACTTGGGTGGGATTCAGACACCTGAACTTGGTATTTCAGTGGACGAACACTGAAACGTCACTTGAATGAACAAAATTTCAGTAGGATAAACTATATGGCTGTGTTCAGTAGGTATAGAATTAATTAAATTTACCGAGTTCAGTGTTTAAATTCAGCGCTTTTTAGAGGGAGGTTCAGCATCTAGAATGTTTGCAAGAACAACAAGACAAAGAATTGCCGTAATAAAATGTGGTTGAAAAAGGGGGACTTCTTACTGAAGGGTTCAAGATTTATGACTCGTATATTTGGTCCCTCAATTTGTGTAATTGTATGTCTCTCTATTTTACTTACTTTGCAAAACCGTACATGAAACGCAATCTACATACACTACTCTACCTGAGTAGGTTACTCCAAATAGAAAGCTAGAAGTTTAACATCACTTTATCCGATGTTGTATTGGATCCAAAATCAGGTGCATCCTAGCAAGGTTTACACTTCTTGGCGATGATGCGGCTCTGAAGTTGAATATTATTCCTTTTTAATTTGTTTTCGGTCCAATTTTTCATATAAAAACATTAGGAAAATTATCTGTAATTTCTTCTTCATGTGGAAAGAATTCTATTATGATTGACCCCTAATCTCAAGCACTTTACATCCATTTCCCAGCCCCTCATACTAATTCTCTAATATCCATCTTAATCATTGCAACTCCTCGCTCTTAAAAAGCGGGGCTTCCACACTAAAATTTTATAGCAAATGTGACCGGTTAACTAAATGAATGCTTATGTACCGCACTAAAGAGTTAATTCTATGGAGCAGAGCTGTTCCTCAGTAGATGACAGTAACTCAGCTAAGGTAAATACTTGTATTTACCGCCTATTATTAAATTTGAAAGTTCAGTGTTGCGTTACGGGAACCCGGTATGGCCCCTTTCCCGATTCAGTTGTAGCCATTCCAGACCCTATTTCCTTTTTAATAGTATCTTTACATCTGTGACTGGATCTCCCAGATGATCTGTTCTTCAGATCTAGCGGCAGTGGTTTTATATGAATTTATCACTTCTCCCGTAGTTTTAAATCCAGTTCTCTTTTTATTTGATCACCCTGAAGCATACAAATGCAGTGCCCTAATACGACTGCTGCGGGGGGGCGCGGACCCTTCAGTACTTCACCCGCTTTATATATCGGCTTCCTCGAGTCGTATAGAATTCAGTCCGACTCCCGATGAGACCACTCACGTCTCAGCGACATGGAGAATGGAACCCTCCTCCCGCACCCCCCGAAGCGCCTCGAGGGTTCTGTGCGAAGGGTAAGCGTAAATAAACTGTGCCAAGTGCGAAATTGAAAATCATCCTTTACTGTGTTGGCATCTTGAAGAAAGGATATGTCCGCCTAACAGACGATAAAAAATAAAATATGCTGTGGCGAAGTGTGTTCTCAGAATCGCTTTTTGTGTGTTGGAGGGGTGTGCAGAGAAGGGAGGGCGGGCCGAGGTGAAGCTGCTTTATAGCGACTTCCGTTCACATTTTTTTCTTTCTCTAGTTTTTCGTCCCTTGGATATTAATCGGCTGTGTATCAGTTTCAGTGTGACGTCATAGGAGTGGGAAGGGTAACTGCATTTGACACCGATGACGGATGCGCTTCTATTAGAAGGGTGCTTCCTCCCCTCAGGGCCTCAAATTCTACCCTCCCACCCCACGCAAGACCCTAATACTCCTCCCAACAGTAACCATATGTCCCTTGTCAAAAAGCTTTAGTGTTTCGTTTCGTCTTCAAACTGCGACGCATGACGTCGCATGTAAATGGGGCATCAAGACTTGAGTGCAGCACTACGCCGTATTAACATCTTCAGAACTGAGTTCTGAACAAGGATATTTGTTACATCGCTTCCTAACGGTCCATTAATGCGTTCAGCGTCTAAGTACAAAATTAAGTTCAGTAACCCTCTTTGTATTATATAATAATAATTCATTATTATTATTCTATTATTATATAATATTATTATTTTTGTGACTGTACAGACTTTGTTGGGCCTTGGCCGCTGTTTCAGTATCTTGATCCTATACACAGTCGTTAGGACTCCTTGGACGGGGGATCAGCCCGTCACAAGACCTCTACCTACACACAGAACAACACAAACAGAATAAACGCACACCATACAGACATCCATCCCTTGTGTGGGATTCGAACCTACGATCCAAGCGTTCGAGCGAGAGCAGATATTTCATGCCTTAGACCGCTCGACCACTGTGATCGGCACTTCTTCACTTGCGGAAGTAATTATTTGTACTGTGCGATCGAGAATCAGCCCGGTTTCTTGTTGTCTTCCTTAGCCTCTCGTGGCCTAGTACCTTAAGAGAGTTTATTTCAATTTCCTGCAGCATAGTTTCCAATCCTGTGGTCATTCTATAGTCATTCGACACTAGGTAACATATCAATTTAACAAATTATCCTTCAGCATGAAAGAAACTGTGATAAGGCGGAAGATAAAGGGAGAAAAAAGAGATAGAAGGTAACAGGCCGTGCAAAACCACATGGTAGTGGGACTTCGAGGCACCCACATTTTCTATACATCGGCCTTCAGATGGCTGTGGGGTTGTCAGCCTTAGGGCCCGGTCCCTCTTTGCCCCCCTGGAAGATTCCTGGTACTCATTTATGGTAGAGGCTGAGTCGACTGCAGGGTCATAGTGCGGCTGGAAGGATTAGATCAATACAAAAAGTCAGGTATATTATCGGGAATCGAATCCGCCACCTTCCGGCTTGAAGCATAGTACCTCAAGCAACTACTCTACTGTGTGCCCCCTGGAGAAAAGAGCGATATATAGATAAAATCACTGAAGGAATTCTGAGCACAACACATAAATTATAAATTCTTATTCCACAAACTTCGTGTCTCACAGATTTTTTTACTGTTATTATTGATATTTTATTGTGAAAATTCCTATATGCAGCTCAGCGATATTAATATACGTTGTTTGTAATGCACAATGTCATTTTATACGTAAGATTGTCATATTAAAAACTTTTAAAATTTTATTTAAATTTTCTAAAACTGTCAAAAGTCTTGAACTAGTTTATTTTTATTACTAAATATAAACCCCTGAATCGTGAGCGCCGAAATATATCGCGAAAATTATAATTTTAAATTGGTGTTAAGAACTTATGTTTCAGGTTACTGTATTGTGATAACAAACAACTCTGAATATTACAATGATGCACAGATCAACATGAAAATATAAAATTTAAATATTATTTTTTTGAAATTCTGACTTCAATGGGTTAAATTCTTAACTGTCCACGAAGTAACAAATAAGATGTAAACAGAGGGTTTTCTCATTTTCAGTTCATCCACTCATCCAGGTCCCAAACCAACTGGTAGGTGCGCCGAAAGGCACCGACGTTACTCTGCAGTGTCATGTAGAAGCGTCGCCAAAAGCCATCAACTACTGGACAAGGGAATCCGGTAAGTGGGCCCTGATACTTCTCCAGTTAAAGTTCACTTAAAGACATAACGTTTGCTATACATCTCAATTGCAATGCAACTAATTATTTTGGAAGACCACTCATATAAACAATACGCTAGTACAAAAATATTAATACGGGGATATGATCTCGGAATGTTAAGGTAACATATAAGATTTGAGGTCTTAACAGCGGTGACTATGAAGAATGCCGTCTTCTTGGATGTGGCGCAGTGTCGATCTTATGTAAACCGACGTTTCGGCGGAAAGTATCGCCTCCATCTTCAGTGTAGAAAAATCTGCGAGCGAGGAACCACCGTGTGCAAGTGACAGCAGACAGAGCCACCAGTCGAAAACACCAAGAAGACGGCATTCTTCCTGAAGATAACATATTCGAATTAATTTGGATGCTTGAAGCAAAGTGAAATATAAGTCTAGAAAGAATATAATAAATTTCAATGAAGCCAATTAAATTTTTATGAGACCTTTCCTCAGTCTGCAGCTTCATGCTCACGCTGGTTCCTCGCTTGCAGATTTTTCTACTCTGAAGATGGAGGCGATTCTTTCCTCCGAAACATCGGTTTACGCAATATCTACACGGCTCCACATTCCAGAAGACGGCATTCTTCATAATTTATAATCATCCTTATTTCCCCTTTAGACATTTGAATATTTGCTCCAATTTCCCAAGGATTTCGCATCATCCAATGTTGGCAGATTTCCTAAATACGTACTTGAACTCACTTGTGAGGTCTATTGATTTGTCATATAGTTGTCATATAGTCACCATTTCGTTCTCTGTAGAATCGAAGGAGGAACATCGCAATAATTAGGTTCATGTACAAGCGCGCTTAAATGTGTAAAAGTGAGATGAACGGTCTATGTAGCACGAATGAAGAAAATGATGGCTGACGTTCTCACAGCCGTGACTATGAAGAGTACCAATTTCTTGGATGTATCATTTTTATTGCTAGTGGGGTGGGACTAAGTCCCTTGTACTGCGGCCACTTCTGGCCTACTGTACCAGCCCCAGATGATAAGTGAGGGTGATTGTGGAGCAATTGGTGGAATGAAGATTGGCAGGGGAAATCGAAGTACTCGGAGAAAACCTGCCCCAGCGCCACTTTGTCCACCACAAATCCCACTTGACCAGACCCGGGATCGAAACCGGGCCGCAGCGGTGGGAAGCCAGCGACTAACCGCTTGAGCTATGGCGGGGCCAACTTCTTATAAGTAACGCCGTATAGTCCGCTAGATGTTCACCGACGTTTCGGAGGAACTTGCCATCTCCATCTTCAGGGTGGAACAGTGAGCCCAGCACTCAACAGAAAGAAGAAAGCAGTTTCGCTGTGTTCGCTACTTGCTTCTTATTGTGTTCCCTTGGTTTTGTAATTTTTACCTTAAATTGGAGGTAGTTTTTCCTCCGAAGCGCTGAAGGTTTATCGGGCTACTCAGTACTACATCCCAGAAGATGGTACTCTTAGAAGGGACATAGAAGGGACAGAGTTAGGCTTATACAAGGCCGCCACTTTGTCCACCACAAATCCCACTTGATCAGACCCGGGATCGAACCCGGGCCGCCGCGATGGGAAGCCAGCGACTAGCCGCTTGAGCTATGGTGCGGCCAAGTTACGAGTTTTGCTTGTTGTATTACAAACAGAAAGCACATTTTGAATTGAACCATTGTTAAATCGTCGTTTTCTGCGAAAAATCACAGACTATTTCCGTTGAATGAGTTGTACTCCTGTTTCATATTTAAGGGATCCAGTGATCAAATCTCAGTCCGGACAGCGGATATTTGTACTGAAAATTTCTGTGATTTTTCTCAGTACCTCCACAAAAGAAAAACTGGAATAGGGCCTCAGATTAGGCCACGACCGCACAATTCCATATAATTTTCATTTCATTGTTCAGTATTCATCCTATCCTTTGACGCTAAAGGGTCTGCACACTTGACGTCGTCTTTAAATAAATGTTAAATCAATAAATAAACCTATCAAATGGCTAATAGGGGAGTTCTGTCCCTTGAAGCAAAGTGGCTGGGGTTGGAAGATGACCAGTGACTTCGGTCTGGTAACAATGTTAAGAATGCGTTCCCCCATAGGTCCTCATGGCGCGGTGGTCAGTTATGCATAAGGAAACATTACTTGTAACTTTAGCTAACCCAGTAGTCTTCCTGAGGAGCTAATATTTGCTCATATAAGGAAAGATTATCTTGGTTTTGTGGAATCTGAAAGCTAAATACCGAAATCAAATGAATCCGTGCTGATAAATAAAAAATTCCTAAGTAAATAAAACGTAAAATAATTTAAAATGATTAAATGCTGCCGAAAAAAGACTTTCTATTCGGTGCCAGACATATCATAGAGAACACGAACCACTTGAAACTCCTTAATCCTCAAACTAGGACCGAGAAATGATCCGGCCTCAATCAGCGAGTCATCTCGTTCAGTTGTCAGTCAATGAGAGCAGCTGAAGCCCACGCAATGCCCATGCGCCCTTTGCCGATACACGGAGAGGCCTGCTACTTTCCTTCCTTTCAGTCTGCGCTCGTTGGCCTGGTGACGCCTGTCCCCATGGAGGCCTCATCAGTGTAGAATGGGGGGAGCAGACCAGTAGCCCGTGCATGGGTCAAACCGCGAAGACATGAAAGGGGAGTGGTCCACAGACATTTACCCTGGACTGCAAAACCCCGCGTGCTCGAGAGTAATGCGAGAAATATGCAAATAATATTAATAATTAATTCGCTCTCCGTCCGCTAGTCGCTACTCGAAAGAACCTCCCCTCAGCTCAAGCCTCCTCGAATTTCACTGGCTGCATTATTTTGCCGCTAGACTGTGATAATACTCAGTCCCGGCTAATTAAATTCCGAATACATTTTATTGAACAGGAATTATTCCCACTGACAGCTAACGATCGGAAGACAGATGCAGGGTTGTGACTACATGAAGCAGAGTGTTCCTTCAGAAGGTGATATTTGCTCAGACGGCTAAGAATTCCTCTTATTTCACGGAACCGAAATTCACTTCATGCTCGCAAGCATCCGCCACCGGTCCTTCATTTTGGGGGGGGGCACATTTCAAGACGATGTCCGTACCACTTTTATACACCGTGGAGGCTTAGGTTAACTGGTAAGTGATGAATTGTAAATTTAACAGAAAGTTATCATGAGCTGAACGAGGTATCATCACTGGTCTGGAGGGACCGAGAACAGTCACGAAAAGCCTATTCAGGACCGCAGGTTTGCCGGTAATTTTCGAACCGAGGACTTCTCGATTATAAGCCTAGTGTGATGCCTCTACTCCAAGTTCTTGCGTCACTGGATGGTGTTACGAACTAGATGACAATTTTACCAATCTGGAGTCTCGCATCCTATTTATTTACAATCCTTCTCAGTACAGGGTGAATCGTATAGAACCGGCCCGATGAATTTGCTAATAACTCCACAGGTGATGCATATAACCGCTCACAATTACGACATAATAATCCGTGGGCCGTGCTGAGTCGAATGGTGTGCGCATGATCCGACAAGTGGCAGCCCTTATGCTGCAAGGTCAAGGACAATCCCGAAACGTGTCTGCAGTGCGCAGGCGACAGTCATGGAGTACACTGTTAAACAGCGAGTGTTTCTAGTGCCTACTTGAAAACGGCGGACACTTTCAACACCTGCTCTGATCACGGCACACAATCCAAGATAAGATATGTGTAAATTACTTTAATATCTATATGGTATATTTTATGTTACAGCTCATTTCGTCGGGCCGGTTCTATATGAATCACCCTGTATTATCTTCCGATTTACGCATCGGGGTTTCCAAGTGTTCTCTTTCTTTAAGGTTTACCTTGATATTTTTAACATTAATATTGTATTTAAGCATCCTGTTGCATTAATATGACCGCCTCTGTGGTCTAGTGGTCAGAGTTCCTGGCTACAGATCCAGAGGTCCCGGGTTCGATTCCCGGAGTTACCTGATTTTCTGAGAAGTAGTGGGTCTGGAACTGGATCCACTCAGACTCGTAAGGAAAATTGAGGAGCTATTTCAAGGAAATAGCGGCTCCAGTCTAGAAAACAGAAATTAACGGCCGTGGGGATTCGTTGCGCTGACCACACGACCTCTACCCGCTAAAGTTGGCACTAACTTCGCTGACATGCGGCGGTCTCTCGGTCGGTACAGTTCGCTTGCCGACTAAAACCACCGAGTTTTTTTTTTTTTTTGCATTAATATACTTTTCACAAAATATACGTCCGTCCGCAGTGCAACGTATTTATTTTCTCTTTTTCCTTCTCCTCAATTTCACATCAAGTTTCGGCCGTATATGGCCATCATCAGGTGTTCTTTTGCCAAAAGCTCTTTCACTGTGTGGTATATCCCACGTCTACTGTCACATATGAATGCGATATGTCCTAATTTAAAATAATGGACTCTATTAAAATCAATACAAAATCAATAAAATCTAGTTAAAATTGAATTTTTTTTCTTTCAAAATTTTGCTTGAAGGCTGTCTTTCTTTATCCAAACACCATTGTGTATATTTTCTTTTTCTGCATCAGTTGCGCAGCGTCGTGGCTGTCTGTGTGTATGTAGCTCTCAAAATACTGATGTACTTATCATCTGCAATACGTAAAGGATATACATATTGTACATATTATTATTCTTAATTTTGTTATATTTTGTTTACATCGTTGCACTCACGCAAGTCCCCTGCCTGTGTGGTAGTGGTCTTCCGTGTGTGTAGACCTAATGAATATTCCGCGTGCCTAATTCCGCTTTTATAACGTAACTGGGGGGGGGGGGATGCTGCTATCTTGTGTAAAGCTTGTGTAATATTTCGATATTGGGTTGTGTGTGTCGTTATATGTCGTTCATGTGTAGGTTGTCTTTACTGATTCTATAAACGCGATACTTCTCTAAAGTATTCAGATGTTTTCCCGTCCTTCCCGCTCTTATGACATCCGTAGTATCGTATATGGTTCCACGTGTATGACCCGTGTTCAGTATGT